TTCCATTGATAACAGCAAAGCAAAACAAATAAACTTTTAATTAACTTTCGCCATTTGTTGTAAGAGTGTTTTCCCTATAGGGATTTGATATGAAGGAATTTACACTATGGCTAATTATTCATGTATGCATACATACAGTGGTACAATTAACGAAGACAACCAGGGGTTAAATTGGGCCTGGGTTGCACAGGGCTGTGCTCATCCCTGGCACAGAGGTGCATGACAAAAAACACTTATCTGATCTGATTTTATGACTACCACCCAACCAGGCTAAAGACTAAGAGTAAACGCCAAAGGTTTTGTCGAGGTAACAAGCCAACACAAATCCTTACAAACTCACTTATAAAACATTGAAATAAATTTCCCATCATTCATAACGATGAACCTGGTGCAGCCAATTGTTTTATCAAATAAAAGGCTGAAAGGATTTCACTTGTCAGTCAAGGTACGGTTAGTGCTAGTCTCTACAGCTGCCAATCCACACTCCATACTTTGGTCCATGCTGGACTTGAATCGACGACCCTCCGGTTCCCAGTCCAAGTCCCTACAGACTGGGCATCTGGTTGAAACAAATGCGGTCTGTGCGCCCGACAGTTTGCTTGTGAACTCTGCTTGTGGATTAAGATATGTGTCACATTTGTGACTTTTAAAAAAGGAAACTGTGTCATTTGGCCTCCTCGCATCTTTTCCAACGCCACTGCACTATTCATAATGAAACTAAATGGTAGACACTTTGGCTGTGGAAGAAAGACAACAAAGTCATCACAGAAAGTTCTCTGCACGTACCTTACTTTCACATGTGATTTTCATTCAGCCAGCTGATAAAAGTAGCAGCCTCGTGCTGTAAAATATAGCTGACAGTCGCTTGTGAAATAAATAAGAAAGTGAGACTTTACAGTCTGTTAGTTTACAGTCTCAACTACACCTTATTTCATTAGGACATGAACGCTAAACCCTGGTAAGCATTTCACATACCTCTCTCTCTCATTTTTGGTTAAGGCCTACACTTAAATAGTTTAAATCTTCACCTTTTACTGCCATAGCTTACAACTATGCAGGTACAGTAAATATTTTGTCTACTTTATTTTACTGTGATTATTATGGAGAAACTATGTAAACTCGTAATTATATAACTGATGTTTTTCATAGTTTTAAGATGCTAGATGATTATCACAAGATATAGAACTTTACAATGACTCCAGTGTTTTGTTCTTTATTGGTGAATTCAATATGTTTCTGCATTCATGCGAGTTTACTGACTTTAAAAAAAAAACATTTCAGCATAACATAAGAACTTATGAAGGTAAAAAATTAGATGGTCTAGCAAGTCAAAAACCACAGCTGAACAACCTGCTCCTCCACACTCAATGTTGTTTGTTTGTTTACATTTTAAAAAATGTAAGTGAAAAGTGTATTAAGGATAAAATGTATCACATTGTAAAAACATGTCAGTCAGAGAAAGTGGTCATGAAATAAAATTAAATAATTGCAAAAACTGTGTAACAGTGTGTGAAGTGAATGATAAACAGAGATATAAAGTCAAATATGTATAATGAAGGCACCATATCCATTTCAGAATCACATATGAAAACATAAACAAAAGTTTGAAGATTACTGTGGGATGGAAGAAAGTGCTTCTACTAAATCCACTGGAAAAAGTCGAGATGAGAACACAGAGGCAGAAGAAAAGGAACAAACAGGTAATACAAGTTAAATGAGTTGTCAATCTATCAATGTTTACCTTTCAATCAAACAAATTTTTATGTTTCTAAATCTTTATATGTTTATAATAAGATGCTGTACGTACTGCAACAAAGAGGAGTCTTTGGAATGTTTTTTCGTCATATTTCAGTAAGTAATCAGCTCACCTCTTTGAAATGTACCATGTGAGGTTAAAACACAATTATTTTCATTTAATAATAATAATAATAATAATAATAATATATAAGAATTTAACAGAATTGCTGAATGAATTAGTGAATAAATTACATTTCCCACTAACCCACAGACTGTAAGAAGCCCCGTGTGGCCACTTCAGAAGGTCTAACAGATGAAGCAGCTGAACGACATGAAACCAGTAACATGAACAAACTGGAGCAGGGTGAGGTGCAACACACAAGAAATGCAGAAGAAAAGGACAGTGATGATGAAGAGAAGACACAGAAAGGACACAGTGGTGAGGCACTTAGGAGAGGAAGGGAATACACAACATGAAGAAAGTTCAAGAGTGAAATTAGATTGGAGACT